GTCTGCAGCAAGGTGAAGTTGATGTAGACCCCGTGGCCAGGGGGCACCGTGATAAGCCACACACAGTCCTTCAATATTGGGTACTCATCTGGAAATCCAGGGGAATAAATGGTGCCATTTGGAGATGTTACATTGTATCCACAAGGAGCTGAAAAGGAAGTAAAGAAAACTTCAGCCCAATAATGCTTTAGGAAGGATACAGTTAAATATTTCTGCTCCTAAAGTCCCTTTGCCAACATTTTCCCTTATGAGAAATAATTGTGAAATATTTCTCAAGAACTACTTTGTCAAAATAATTCCCCTAAAGTCTTAAAACCCTAGAAGAATTACACTTCTAAGCCATCCATTTCATTTATTATATTCACCAAACATTCAAAATATCTTCAGGATAAAGTCATTCCCATATAATTAAAAAGAAAAAACCCTTAGTCAGTTGTCTTCTGTACTGTGTTGATAATCCATTGGACTATCCCATCAAGGGATTATGTGGAAAGTATGCATAAATATAAGACCTTTTTTTTGTTTTAAGTGAGATTTCTAAAGCCTATTTAAACTGTTCAAAAGAATGGCATTTAGGTCTATGTGCCTTGAAACAAAGACATTATCAATACTTCGCAGATCTATACCTGGAGAAAGGAGATAAAATTCTGTAAGTGCTATTTTTTTGAACCACTTCCATATCTCACTGGCTTTCAACTATGGGGAGAATCATAATACCCAATCAGTCCATTTTTGTTTTACTTCAGAAATTGATATTCACTGTTGCCATGGTGATTGTTTTATTTATGGAAGAATAAAGTGACCATAATCAACAGAATAATCTGAGATATATTCTTTAATTCACATAGTGGTATAATATAATACATCAAAATCGTGGGCATGTGAATTTTTTAGTCAAACCAAAAGGCAGCAGATGTGCTATGAGTGTCTGTCACCAGCATGAATCTTGTGTGGCTTTTAATGAGTTGCCACAAAAGGTGTAGAATTTAAGTGGAGTGAATAGACCTAAATACGTGGGAAAAATAAAAAGTTCAATAATTCAAAATAATGAGTGATGAAATACCATACAGCAGTATACTACTGTACAGGTTTATACTGATTTGAAGGGAGGTAGAAATGAGCCCATGTAAAACTTACTGAATCTGGCTGGAGTTTGAGATAAATTCATTAGAAGGGGCTGTGGAGAACACATTGCAAGTTTTATAATGTGATTATTGATCAGTGGGCTTTGGAGTCAGACAAACCTTGATTTATAATGTAGGAAAGTGTCCACATACTTACAACCTGTGACAAAAGGGCCACAAACCACCTTGCAAACACCACAAGCTACTTGGTGGCCCCGGGGGACGTGACATTTTTTCTCACTTCCAAGCTTCATGCAATTGTTCACCCTGCGCTAGAAGCTCATTTTCTCCTTTGCTGCCAGGGCGAAGCAGTCTCCTCTTCAAACTCACTCAAACGGCAGCCTCCGTGAAGCCTCTCCCGCTTGGCTTGGGCTTTGTTCACTTATCACGTGGCTGTAATTAGCCGCCAGCTGCTCCTCACCATCCGACTACCAGCGGCTCCAAGCCAGGGACCCTGTGTGCCCTTCACCCCACGCACAACCCCCTTTCGTTAACCCATGGACTAGCTCAGATCACAATCGATAATAGACAACAAATAATGGGTGAACTGAAAATGACTGAGACAACAAACAGAAAACACCTTACTAATAAACGCACTGAGCCAGTGGGCGGACATATCTTATCTGTGATTTGAGATTAATCATTTGGTATGGATTCATAACTCTGAGTTTTCCTTTTGCATTTGATTTTATAAGTTAAACCTTATAGTTGTACAACCACATTATATATGGTATTACCTACCTTCCCATTGGGGAAACAAAACAAAATTTAATAAACAAAACCCCAAATTAGTGCAAAAGAAACGGTGTGACAATATTTTTGGTAGGACACAGAACTGGCTTCTGCGATCCTTCACGTCACTTAATAGGTGTAGGACACGGAGCAAGCCCCACATAATGCAGTGCACGTCACAGCCAGGGGAGGCAAGATGCCGGGGTCTTTCTCCCCAGGGGCCAAAGAGCAAATAAACACACATCCATTTATATGTCCATGGAAATGCATGCTGATATTGCCATCACGGTAAGAGACAGGTATTTGGCCTTTCTCCCGCCTCCTTGCCACGCTGTCCTATAATATTCAAGTAATACACCCTTTCATTCACTTATTCAACAAGTATTTCCTAAGACTCTATTATGTACCAGCTGGTGTTGTTGGACCCGGGTGGGGGTGGGGTGGTAGTGGAGGAGGAGGGGAAGGGGGAGAGGGAGAAGAAGAAGATGAAGAAGAATGGGGTCTGGAGATACTCAGGGCTGGTGAACAGTTGGAAGGACGGGGGGCAGTGTTTCCCATTGTTTCCCCAATGGGAAGGTAGGTAATACCATATATAACGTGGTTGTACAACTACAAGGTTTAACTTATAAAATCAAATGCAAAAGGAAAACTTAGAGTTATGAGTCCATACCAAATGCTCACCGGCCACACACCTTGCGCTCCCCAGGCCTTCCAACCTAGCTGTTCCCGAGTTACGTCATCTGTAATAAACCTGAGGAAACTGTGGCCTGAGTTCTGTGAGGTCCTCCCTCAAATGAAGCCAACAGGAGGAGGGAGTCATGGGAGTCCGGTCTATGCAGAGCCCCTCAGAAGGTGACAACCTGGTCTTGGGACTGGAACCTGAAGAGTGGGGGAAGGGAGGCTTGTGGGACCCAGCCCTTAAGGCTGTGGAGCTGTCCCCACTCAGTGTCAGAGCTGGGGTCAACTGCAGGCCCCGGCTAGTGCCGCGGAACTGCCCGGAGTAGGAAACACCCCCACGTGTGGCCAGAAGAGTCAGCAATGTGAGTGTCATGGGTCACTCTTTCCAAGCGGGTGCTCAGCAGAGCTTCAGAGGTGAGAAAGGGCTGCTCTGGGAAGCACGGCTAAGGAGGGAATGCTCTCTAGTTACTTCTGTAGGAACTTCTGTCTCCAGAAAACAAGAGGTGCATAAAAAGGATGACGCCCTCAGCTTCCGTCAGACCGCAGGGCCGGCTCAGGCGCACTGACCAGGGTCTCACCCATGAGGATGAACTTGGGGTCTGGCCACACCTGCCACCTTCACCCACTCCCCCTTGTGCCCCTTCTCTGCTCTGCACCCCGTTCACGGGTCACATCCCTGCTACTAGGGGAGATGATGCCTTCAGGTGGCTCACACAGAGTGGCGGCTGTGTCTGGCCAGCTCCTGGTCACGTGAAGCTAGAGCGAGGAGACACTGGAATACAAGCGGATGGGCATGGCGGACGTCGGCACAGGGACGTGGGGACACGCCATCGCTTTACTGGGGCCGGGCATGGAAAACTCAGGGGGCAACGGGACATCTCTTTATTGGGCTATCTTTTTCTCTCACTTAAACAAGTGCAATGTGGCTTTCTCTGAATAGAGGTGGGTAAAAAGACAGAGCATATTAAGTGNCTGGCTCGCCCTGCCAACCTCATCTCCCGGCTGCCCATCTGCAACCTTATTACAACCTTTTTTACAAACTAGTAAACATAAGACAGTGTCTTCTCGGTTCTCTGAGCTCTTCTAACGAATGATCGAACCTGAGGAAGGGGTCACAGGAACCTCTGATTTTTGCAGCCAGTGAGACGCACGCAGGACAACCTGGACTTGAGATTGGCTTCTAAATGGGGGTGTTCCTGTGGGGCTGAGCCCTGAACCTGTGGGGTCTGGCGCCTTGTCTGGGTAGATGGTGTCAGAATAGAGTTCAATCGTAAGACACCCGGCTGGTGTCCGCAGAGAATGGCAGGATTGCCTGGTGCTGCGGGAAAACCTTCCACACCCTCATTCAGCTGTTTTCTAAATTGACATAAGTGTCCAACATGGTAACCGTTATTTGCATATGCTACTAGCTTTCAAGGGTCAGTTTACTACCACTGTCCCCAAGGAAAGTCAGCCACCCTAAGAGTAGTGACCGTTTTCGGAGGAGACCTTCTGAAAGTGAGAATGGTGTCTGAAGAAGCAGGCTCACAGCGAATGCAACTTTTCATCAAGAATGTATTGGGGGCTTGGCCCCCCACTCGAGCCCAATTAAATCAATCAAAAATAGAAAAGCACTGGAAGAAAGACTACAATTAACTGCGTATTTGATAAACGTCATCTGAGTCCCTATTTATTTTGTTAAATAATGTGGTGTTTAGGGAACGACACCTAAGATAATTCTCAGGTCGTTTTAAACTAATTTACTCCTGAATTGAAACAGATGGGAGCTAGGTGACCCTGTGTTGTGACTGCTACAAGTGCAGTAGGGCGTGGGGGAGGCAAGCTCCCTGTAAATGCGGGTGACAGCACAGCAACCCAGAGAATGACACGCACAGTGTGTTGCTTTACTCTGGTCCTGGATCCTCATGAATTGATGTCGTTTAAATATAAACTAGGTTAATCTCAGGGGGTCAACATGATAAAGGCATTTTCTGTTTTTGAAGTAGTACCCTGAGTACATATTTATGCCTTCTCTAATCAACTCAGGCCGATTTGGCTTTAAGGTCATATCAGATAGATGGACAGGTGGACAGAAAGGTAATGGGTAGACAGGTGACAAAGGACGCATAGTAAACAGGAACGTTGGAACCTAGGTGGTGTGCATTCAGGTTTCATTTTTAAACTATTGCAACCTTGCCAAATACGTTTGCAAATGTTCCTGATGAACTGCTGGCACAAAAGCAAGCCTTCTCAGTGGACGTGGCTTTAACGTCTAGAGCTGGCTAAGATGTTTCGGTTAGCAGCTGCAGTGGGTCACAGCACAGAGGGAGAGTCAAAGAAGAGCCGCGCAGGCGCACGCTGGCTTCCACGTGGCCGCGAGCACAGGCAGGGCCGGGCCAGGCGCATGCGCACCTACCTTCGCACACTGGGACTGCGCCTTCGAACTGCAGCTGGGAGCTGAGCCTGCAGGTGAGTGTGTCGGCCCCGGTCAGCGTGTACCCAGGCTGGCACTGGTATCTCACGAAGTCTCCTGAAAGAGGCCACACAAAACGCTTGGAAATCACGTTTCCGTGACATCTGGAGCGTGTGCACGCATGATACACAGCTGGTGACCTGAAGGGTGAGGTCAATGTGCGAACTCTTTCTGAACCAATGTTCACATTCATTTTTAGACTGTTTAATAAAATAGTACTCTTTCAGTTCTTCGCTTATAAAGATGCCATCTTAAACGTAACCAATGGTAGTACAGAAATTATGTGGCAGTTTTTTCTTCCTTGACTAATGCATCTATGTCGTTATCCTTGAGGATTGCAGAAAAACAATAAAGTGAAATGGACGCTTGGGGTTTTAGGCTGTGAAACAGAATGGCTTCAATGCAGACAGCGAGGGCCAAGCCAGCCCTGGGCCTGACTTGGACAGCACCCCCATTATATCAGCCTTTAATTGTGTGGCGCAGTCGGGTCCCGTGGGGAGACCAGTGGCCTGAAACCTGCTGTGACAACAGGACAGAGCCTTTGTAACTGAGACTGAGAAACCCCAGGTCACAACAATTATACTACAAACATATCCAGTGGCTGGCTTCCTAATGTGACCTGATGATTATTTAATAAAATAGACCATTAATATAAAGAGACAAAGCATAATTTCTCAATGTTATCGTTTAAATATATTCACCAATTATATCCCAGTGTAAATGAAAAGCTGATGTCACACTAATCATTCTTTTATCCACTAATGTTTACGTTCTTCTGTTGCACGACCAAGCGTCTCTAACGAAACACTAAAGTCCCTGAAAACTTTACTCCAAAGAAAAACGTGGACTAGTAAATGCTCGAGGGGGAACGCGCTCAAAACGACAACGGCGAACGTCAAATGCCAAAAAGCCCCGTCATGGAAATGAAGAAGGGAAACATCCTTTGGACACCTGACCTCCACGCTCCACCTCCCGGCTACGCTTAAGGACTATTTCTGACAAAGACGCACATACTCTCTTACAGCTACTGCAGTGGGGGTGTGTAAAAGGGCCGGACGGGAAGAACATGTTACCTATTTCAAAATCGTCATCCTCCGTGAGCATTTCTGCCTGTGGAACTGTGGGAGGCGGTGGACATTTCTTGAGCTGAAATGCTAAATGGTTTATGGAAACAAACAAACAAACTGGAGTTACATCTGCTGAATAAACAAAATTATTCGAAATGCATTCCTCTCACATTGCTGTAATGCTTAGGTATGCTGTGCAGACATGTCCTTATTTGTAAATCATTGTTGTATAATATCCTCAGGCTTCCAGGGCTCTCAGGATTATTTAACACCCAGGAATATGTAGAGAAGGGAAAAAGTAGACAACTTAAAAATGATTTAAATCCATGCTTGGGATTCTATAAGAGAAAGGGTCCATGCAGGGCCTAGTTCCACGCCCACACATAGATGGGGTAAGGCCTCTGGCTCTGGCCCTGAGGACTTCCACGGGTGACGGTCCTCATGAGAGACAAGGAATTTCATACATTCCCCCAATCATCTAGTGTCCATTTTCAAAATCCGCCCGTCTGTAAGCACCTGGCATTTTCACTGCGCCTCACCGGCAGGGAGGCACACAGACATCTACGACAAGTGCCAAGTTCACTGGCCTCCGTTTCAGTTTCATTTCCCACGCACTTGGAATGAATCCAAGTTTACTGCGAAACACAGCTTAATAAAATGGGAAATGGTAAAGATATCAGTAAGCGAAATGGGGTCACAGGAGACGCTGGCATCAAATGGAAGAGGCTCTCGTCAGGCGTTCCCTGACAGGACCGAGGGTGTTCGCGGGGACAGGCGCACGGCAATGGCGGGAGGGGACCACCTCATGAGGGCTGAGAAGGCACTGACCATGGAAATTGAGGACGAAGAAGCCTCCGTTGGAGAAGTCGCTGTGAAACTTCAGCAGGACCTGATTGGTGGAACTGTAAGCTGACTCGAGGGCCGTGTTCCCACTGAACACTCCTAGCTGCGGCGAATTCTGATCCGGCCCGTCCCTGAGAAAGGAGGAAGGGCAGCCTGAGTAAGAGGCCTCAGGACAGCTTCCGCCCGCCGACCCGCTCTCTTCCCGTGGTTGGACTCCATCTGGGTCTGACCCCAGGCCCCAGGGGACAGGCTGGCGTGCAAACCTAGCAGCTCGGATGACTCCACACGCGGTCCCCCAGGGGACCTTTTCGGAAGAATTTGAGAGACAGTGTCATGTTTATTCCAAGGACTGCAATAGCATTCATCAGCTTTCTTTCAAAAGCTGCATTTTAAAGTCTGAAATTCAATGGTGTCTCTTTAATTACCGGTGAGATTTGTGGAGATCTTGCTACTGAATTAGAATATTTAAAAAGCTGAATAAAGTATTACCATCTTTTAGATGCTGTGTTTAGAAATATCAAGATGTTTAACATTCCCAAAGTTGACGGCACTGTCCAGTCTCTTTCCCTGGCGTCTGACAATAGGGACTCACCCACTTTTCTTAACTATAAAGACCTTCCAGAGCTGTGGGCTAATCTGGGGGAAACTGCTGACATTATCCTACTGTTGGATTTTGTTGTTGCTGTTTTGCATTTGAAATAGCAGCTTCAGGTGGTCAACCTAACATTTCAAGTTGTCCCTTTGTCCTCGTTCCCACATGGTGACCTCCCTGTAAGAGTGAGCTCTGCAGCTGCAAAGGCCAGCCTCTTTCTCGCCCTCAGATGCTGTGTGTCCCGCAAAATGAGACTGGCTGTTCTGCCACCAGGACCTGCTCTCACAGTTCTTCCTCCTAAAGCCCTCAGGTGAGTCCTCAGTGCTCCTGGAATGAAACTCCACACCTCAGCCTGGGTCACAAGCCCTGCACTGTCTGCCCTGCTGACATTGCCAGCTCTGGGAGCCCTCGCGAGACCTCAGCCATGCCAGCCTGATGCCCAGTGCCTGGAACTCATGTGCTGCTGCCTCACAGCCCTTCCAGGAATGAGAACAAGACCACCCTTACAGCAACTTCACCAACATGCACACACGCACGCACACATGAACACACATATGTACACAGGCACACACACAGATGCACATACACACGTACACGTGCACACCCATATGTACACATGAACACACATGCACACATGTGTACACATGCACACATGTGCGCACACCTGTGTATACATACACCCATGCACACTGCATTGTTAACTGCAATCACTCCTTCAGTTTTCATTGCTGTTTAGTTCAAATGCACAGCTGAGCTCTAGGATGTGGGCTATGCTCCCTCCTGGGGCCCGATGGTCTGCTCTACTTCTCTGAGTGTCACAGTATCACAGGGTCATTGTCATTTCCCGGTACCCCTATGAATCTCACCTCCAAAAGCAAAGGTGGGGAGCATCATCCCCATAGATACACACATTCAGTCCAGAAGAGCCTAAGTAACTCACCCAGGCTGCACAGGTCACTAGGCGGGGACCCAGAGCTGGAGTCCCACCCCGGAGCCTGGCTCAGTGTCTCTGACACGGATGTGGAGGGCTGTCTGCACTGTTTATAAGCATGGAAGGGAGGCTGTGTGTAAAGTTTTTCAATAGTTCTAGAAACACAAGTCTCATAGTGGTAAAGGATCCTATATGCTTTCCTTTGACAAAAAAATTGCACTTAAATATGTAAAATAAAAAATCTTGGGGGGGCGGGTCTCCTATATTCAGAGTAATCCTGGATCTATCCACCATGCAACAAAACTCAAACTTGTTACATGATGTTTATTCTCTACACTTCTAAATTTAGTCGGTTAACTTCCTTTTCAATATCTACATAACGACTTCATTTCTAAATACATAATCTGACGGCTAAGTGACCTGGGAGCAGTTGTAAGCATGGTTATCCCAACCACAGACTGGCTTTTTCAGGAGCAGGTCTCCTACCAGACGGCAATGTAGTCGTTGACGGCTTCAGTCTGCAGCAAGGTGAAGTTGATGTAGACCCCGTGGCCAGGGGGCACCGTGATAAGCCACACACAGTCCTTCAATATTGGGTACTCATCTGGAAATCCAGGGGAATAAATGGTGCCATTTGGAGATGTTACATTGTATCCACAAGGAGCTGAAAAGGAAGTAAAGAAAACTTCAGCCCAATAATGCTTTAGGAAGGATACAGTTAAATATTTCTGCTCCTAAAGTCCCTTTGCCAACATTTTCCCTTATGAGAAATAATTGTGAAATATTTCTCAAGAACTACTTTGTCAAAATAATTCCCCTAAAGTCTTAAAACCCTAGAAGAATTACACTTCTAAGCCATCCATTTCATTTATTATATTCACCAAACATTCAAAATATCTTCAGGATAAAGTCATTCCCATATAATTAAAAAGAAAAAACCCTTAGTCAGTTGTCTTCTGTACTGTGTTGATAATCCATTGGACTATCCCATCAAGGGATTATGTGGGAAGTATGCATAAATATAAGACCTTTTTTTTGTTTTAAGTGAGATTTCTAAAGCCTATTTAAACTGTTCAAAAGAATGGCATTTAGGTCTATGTGCCTTGAAACAAAGACATTATCAATACTTCGCAGATCTATACCTGGAGAAAGGAGATAAAATTCTGTAAGTGCTATTTTTTTGAACCACTTCCATATCTCACTGGCTTTCAACTATGGGGAGAATCATAATACCCAATCAGTCCATTTTTGTTTTACTTCAGAAATTGATATTCACTGTTGCCATGGTGATTGTTTTATTTATGGAAGAATAAAGTGACCATAATCAACAGAATAATCTGAGATATATTCTTTAATTCACATAGTGGTATAATATAATACATCAAAATCGTGGGCATGTGAATTTTTTAGTCAAACCAAAAGGCAGCAGATGTGCTATGAGTGTCTGTCACCAGCATGAATCTTGTGTGGCTTTTAATGAGTTGCCACAAAAGGTGTAGAATTTAAGTGGAGTGAATAGACCTAAATACGTGGGAAAAATAAAAAGTTCAATAATTCAAAATAATGAGTGATGAAATACCATACAGCAGTATACNACACGAGACAAGTCACTTTTGAGAGCTCCTCTGTCTTCATCCCAGGGTGCTGGCACAGAGCGCCTACATCCCTTGGCACGTCGTCCTGAGCGGGGCATGTGCCATTCATACAGAGCCCCTTTGCATCCCACCTGAGTGCATGCTAATGCGGTGACAGGAACCCACTGGTCACCAGGATGCCCAGTGGTCAGAGGGCGAAGCTTCCAGCCCCACTCACAGACCCCTGGTGAGTTTGGAGGTGGGGAGAGATGGAGGTGCAGCTCTAAAAACTCTTGAAAAACGCGCTTCGATGAGCTCTGGGTGGGCGAGAGCGTCCGCAGGCCGGCAGGGGCCAGAGGCTCCTGTGCTTGGCCTCCTGGCTCGCCCTGCCAACCTCATCTCCCGGCTGCCCATCTGCAACCTTATTACAACCTTTTTTACAAACTAGTAAACATAAGACAGTGTCTTCTCAGTTCTCTGAGCTCTTCTAACGAATGATCGAACCTGAGGAAGGGGTCACAGGAACCTCTGATTTTTGCAGCCAGTGCGAAGCACGCAGGACAACCTGGACTTGAGATTGGCGACTAAATGGGGGTGTTCCGGTGGGGTTGAGCGCTGAACCTGCGGGGCCTGGCGCCTTGTCTGGGTAGATGGTGTCAGAATAGAGTTCAATCATAAGACACCCGGCTGGTGTCCGCAGAGAATGGCAGGATTGCCTGGTGCTGTGGGAAAACCTTCCACACCCTCATTCAACTGTTTTCTAAATTGACATAAGTGTCCAACATGGTAACTGTTATTTGCATATGCTACTAGCTTTCAAGGGTCAATTTACTGCCACTGTCCCCAAGGAAAGTCAGCCACCCTAAGAGTAGTGACCGTTTTCAAGGAGACCTTCTGAAAGTGAGAATGGTGTCTGAAGAAGCAGGCTCACAGTGAGTGCAATTTTTCATCAAGAATGTATTGGGCTGGGCCGGCCGAGTGGCGCGATGGTTAAGAACTGGCTTGGGACGCCAGAGGACCCCGGTTCGGACCCCACATATGAGGGCCAGTGATGTGCCTCGCCCAAGAAGAGCGCAATGATGA